CAGGCCCCGTCGACCGACTGCAGCAGGAGATCGCTGGCTGCGGGCGTCGCCGCCTTGGCGAGCGTGCCGCCCCGACGCACGCATTCGTCGAGCGCGCTGCGCCAAGGGAGGCGCGGCTCGTGGTAGGCGGTGTATCCGTAGAATGGAGCGGCGGGCGGCGAAGGCGGCGAGGCTGGCAGTCGGGGCGGAAATGGTAGGGCCGCGCCGGCGGCGAGCGCTGCCGCAGGGATGCCAGGTACGATGTGCTGAACAGACATAGATCTAGCCCTGCCTTACGCTGACCCGGAGAGAGAGTCGCCGTCGGTTGTCAAGAAGTATTAGAGGTGGCCTGGCAGAAGAGTTTTCGCGTCGGCCGCGCCCGCTCACCCTCCCCGCCCCCCTCCCTCCCTCTCCTCTCCCTCTCTCCCTCTTCTCCCTCCTCTCCTTCGCGGTTCGCTCTCTTTCCACACGTGAGTGGTGTGTCTCGCGTGCTGCACACACGGTGTGATACTGTGTGTGCCCCCCCACCCCCTGTGCGCGCTCTACTTTAGACCTCACGAATGCACATATTTTCGATAACTGTAGTGCGCGTCGGACTGGTGGTTCGAGTTTCGACGTACCTCACTAAACGCCCGCTCGCGTGGGCGCCGACGGTGCGCGCCGCTCCGCCTGCACCCGCCTCGGCTGCGACGCCGTGGAAGGGTTGGAGACCGAACGGCGGTCGGCGAGGCCCATGGCCGCGTGCATGCCAGCCCCCTGCGCGAGGTCGCGGGCCGGGCGCTTCGGCTTGGCCGCCTGCCGAGCATCCTCGCGCGCCAGCCTCGCGGCGACAGCCTCGGCCGTCTCGCCGCCACCAGCAGCGCTCGCACCGGCGCCACCGCCCGTCACAAGGCCAGCGCCGCCTGCGCGGCCACTCGCGCCGCCGATGCTCATCGCGCCGGCGCCGACGGTTCCACCCCCTAGCGTGGCCGCGCGGGCTGCGGACTTGCCGGCGGCGCCGCCCTTCGCGAGCGGGTCCATCACGCCTACGGGGAGGGAGGGTCATAAGCGCAGCTCCGAAGAGGCTTGAGCGAGGGGCCACTGCAAGCGGGTCCGCCCCGCGGAGATGCAATCTCGGTCAATATCGGTCAATCTCTGGTGACCTCCGGTGATATGGGGTGGTCTCAGGTGAGCTTGGACGAGCTAGGTGATCTCGGGTGATCTCGGGTGATCTCGGGCAGTCCCCCGCCGACGCGCGGCCCGCCGCCGAAGCGCTGGTTGAAGTTCTCCTCGCGGTTCTTGAGCTCGAGCTTGAAAAACTTCATCTCCTCGTAGGTGCGGCGCACCAGCTCGTCCTTCTCGCGCACCTGCATGCCCGTGAAAATGTGCAGTTGAGATGCTGCTGGCGCGGCACGCATGGGAAGGGGAGCGGATGTGTCCCGGACGTGTCAAAGAGGTGTCTCGGAGGTGTCCTTCTCGCGCACCTGCCGCCGCAGCTCCTCGATCTCGCGCACGTCCTCCTCCCGCGGCTCGCGCGCCTCGAACCTAGGGCAGAAGCAGAGCTGAGGGCGTGAAGACAGTCTCGTGCGGTGAATTCAGAGCACTACATGAGTCGAGTGCCCAGCGTTGCAATCAGCTGAATAAGCCGCATGCACATACACATTATGCATATGCATATAGCGACGCGAAATCCGCATCTAAGGCCTCGGACCGCGCCCGCATCTCGTCAAGCTCGCCGCGCGACGCGTCAAGCTGCTCCTGCAGCAGCGCCTGCGCGCCCCGAAACTCGGCGGCCAGCCGTCCCGTCGCGGCGGCGTGCTCCTGTGTAAACAGGGTGGTAGGATGTGATTACGCAGCTAAGTACTTTTCTCCTCGATTGCTATACACGGATCTGTGCCCCGCATCTAGAGACGTGCTCCTCGCCCGCCGCGTCGAGCCGCGCCTGCACATCTGCCCTGGCCGCGGCCACCTGTGAGCACGTGTGATGGACGTAAGGCAAGTGCGCCTCAGACGCGAGCTCCGACTCATCTCGGGCAAATCCCGGGTAATCTAGGGCGCCTCAGACGCGAGCTCCGACTCGCGGCCGGCGGCGGCGGTGGCGGCCGCCCGAGCCTCCCTCTCCGCGGCGGTGAGCGCCTAAACGGCAACTCCGAGAAAGTTCCAGGAGAGATACTAGGATTGGCGCCTCCCCGCTCTGCGGCGGCGATCACGTCGCGCAGCTGCCGCGCGTCCGCCCGCGCCAGCTCCCGCTCAGCGGCCACTGAAGTGCCTTCCGCCCGCGACGCCTCCAGCGCCGCACCGAGGCGCGCCGTCTCCTTTGCGGGGAGGGGAGCGGCGGTGAGGGGAGCGGCGGCGAGGGAAGCAAGAACAACAGCAGGGCAAAAGGCGGCGGGATGAGAAGGGGGGGGGAAGACGAGGGCGTGGCTAGAGGAGGCGGGCGGTGGCGAGGCCGGCTCCTTGTCCGCTGCCGCGTGCGCCGCCCGCAGCGCCTCCTCCGCAGCCCCGCGCTCCGCCTCTACCGCCCGCAAAGACGCAGCGGCAACCTCGGCGGCGGCGGCGGCCTCTGCGGAGGAAGCGGCCGCCGCCGCCTCGAGTGCCGCAGCGCCCTCGCCGCGCAATCGCTCCGCCTCTGTTTCCGCCGTCGCGGCTGCCTGCTTGACGGCGAGTCTGAGCGCCTGTGGACACATCGTGTGTCGGCCACGAGCGTGGCGTGTATGTGGGAGGGGGTGGGGTGATGGGAGGGCAAGGAATTTGGGCACACGACAGCGTAAGGCACATAGCGGGCGAGAGAGAGAGAGAAGGTGTCTTTGAGATTGGCTCGGAGGTGTTTCGGAGACCTCCTCGCCCTCGCGGACTGCGGCCGCCACTGCCTCATCGCCGGCGAGCACTGCCGCCTCTGTCGCCGCCGCTGCCGCCTCCACCGCCCGCCTCCCCTCCCTTCGCTCCGTCTCGAGCAGCGTCTCCAGCGCGCCAACCTGAGATGCGAGCTCGGCGCCCTCCGCCGACGCGCTGGCCGCCTCGGCCTCCGCCGCCGCTGCGCGCGTACTCTGCCGCGCCGCCTCGTCACGCGCGTTCTGCAGTGCCGCCGCCGCCTCCGAGGCCGCCGCCCCCGCCTCGTCATGTGCCGTCGCCGCCTTGCGCTCCTGTGCGTCGAGCGCTGCCGCCAGCGCCGCCGCTTCCGCACGCGCCGCCGGTAGAGCCTCCGCATCGGGGCGCAACGACGCCGCTTCCGCCTCCGCCGCCTCCGCGCGTCGCTCCGCCTGCTGCAGCTGGCGGCCGGC